AATAGTTCTGATGCTCTAGTTCAATTCTTTGTTGGTGCGATTATTTTTATATCCTGTTTGTTTGGTTCCATCCTTCTTGCTGTATTAATTATCTCGAAACTTGCTAGTGATGTTAGCATTTTAAGCTTCATTCCCATATCTCTTAACCCTCTATTACTTTGTTTGGTTTTTGCCACTGTTATACTAATACATTTTGCACTTTCTATTTATATTGTATATATTTCCCCTCTGTTATCTGTGTGTATGTTTTTATTACAACCTTTGCATGAATCGATTGGTGAGACATTACTCTGGTGTTTATAGTACCTGATTGTTGTTATGTTTTGTTGTTTTTTCCTTAGCCTGCCTATTAATGACTCTGCTTGTAAACTCACAACTACCCAATCAAGCTTACGTTTTTTCATTTCCTTTGCTGTGTGCTTGCTTGTCTCTTGCTAGGGGTTGGGTTTGTTGCCTGATAAGTGAAACGAATAGCTGTCTTTGCTATTGTTGTCTATAATTTTCTGTTTAATTTCATTGTAAATTGTTGATATGCGTTCTCTCATGTGCTGGTTTAATCTTCTCGAGATATCGATCCATGTGGTGTATTTTATAACGTCTGCATTATACATTTGCTCGATTCACTTTAGATTAAGTTTCTTGAGCTTGTTTCTGTTTGTGCTGAACCATTTGTTTCCCATAACTTTCTCTATTGTGATAAGATTGAATCCTTTTTCTTGTATTATGGTTTGCTTTCCTCCTATTGTTATTCTTAGATTATGTTTTTGACAGTTATGTATTATGTCATACATGAAGTTGTGATTTTCCTTGAACATTTTGGAACACCTTTCCAGTATGGATGCCTATAATCAGACTTTCCATTGTATGTTTTCGACATTGACTTTTATTATACTGTATATGACACTATGTTTCTTTGATCCATATATGCCTTCATATCCATGAAATGTTTCTGTATCTGTTTATATTATAGGTCGAAGACTTTGTAGCCTGATCAGCTATGTATCAGGAAGTTCGGCACAGTTGATGTAAATCCGAATTTGTTTTTTGAGACTCGTCTTATTTTTCTATTGATATTTGTGACTTCTTTACTGAATAATACCATGTTATTGAATAAGTACTCTATTTTAGGAAAGAGTATATGGTTGAGAATATAAATGGTTTGTTTGTTGATTATCCATTTCCATTTGAGTTTGTTAAGGATTTGATTGATTTTTTCCTTTAGGATTTGTTTTTGAAAAATTTTGCCCACTTTTTTTTGTATTCATATCCCTAGGTATTTAATTGATGCTTCTGTATGATTAATGATTATGTCTTTGAAGTTTATTGTTGGTGGGTTGTTCCTTCCTATTATGATCATGTGTGTTTTGTGTAGGTTGACTTGGATATCAGTTATGTTGTAGAAGGTTTCTACAGTATTAATTATTTTTTGCATGTCATGTTTGTTGTCTGCTATCCATATAGTGTCATTCATATATGCTACTAGTGATATGTTTATCTTCTCTGTATATGTATTAGGCTTGGACTGTGATGGTTTTTTGTATATATATGTATATCTTTTCATTCTTGCTATTCTCATGATCAGTGGGTCGTAGTATATCCTTTATAATATGGGTGATATAGTGTCCTCTTGGTTTATGCTATCTTGGATTTCATATGGATTTGTCATACCTGTGACTATAATGACTGTGTTGTGTCTGTGGCTGAAATTTTCTGTTATTAATTCACAAAAGGATCTGGTATCTTGAGTCTTTTGAGTATGTGTTCGAGAATATTGATGTTGATGTGGTCATATGCCTTGGACATGTCTTGAAAAATCAATTAGCATTTCTTGTTATATAGTCTTGTATAGGGTTCCGATTGGTACCATTCGGTATGGTATTTTGTAAAACTAATATCAAAAAAATTTTTCGGTATTGGTATCGATAATTACCGAAAATTTTCGATATGATACTTTAAAATACTGATATCGAACCAAAGTACTGAAAGTATTAATACTAATTAAAATATTGTATAAAGTTTCAATTAATACTATTTTATATATCATATACTATTGATACTATGATCCTAATTATTTTCTTTCAAGGCTGAGGAAAAATACAATCTTTTTATAATGTTTTGATCAATTGTTGATCGCTCTACTATAATTATTTATGTGTATTCATTTATTTTATACAAGGAATAATTAAAGAATTTTTTTTTATACTTAGAATAATTATTAAAAAAAATAAGACAAGAAGTGAAATTACTCAAAATATTATTAAAACAATTACTTTTGAGCCCTTAACAAATATGTTTTTTTAGTTTTTCCGCAAATAGTTATTTATAACTACAAAAAGGCTTTACAACTTGAATTTCGAGCTATGATGCTCCGAATTCATGACACCGTTTGAAAATCTATAGGTATTTTGAAAATTCTTTTCATCTGTAAGTTAAAAAGTGAAATTACTCAAAATATTCCTATAACAATCACTTTTGAGCCCTTAACAAATAATGTTTTCTAGTCTTTTTGTAAATAGTTACTTATAACTACAAAAAGGCTTTACAACTTGAATTTCGAGCTATGATGCTCCGAATTCGTAGCACCATTTGAAAATCTATAGATATTTTGAGAATTATTTTCATCCGTAAGTTAAAAGTAAAATTACTCAAAATATTACTAAAATAATCACTTTTGAGCCCTTAACAAATAATGTTTTTCTAGTCTTTCCGCAAATAGTTACTTATAACCACAAAATGGTTTTACAACTTGAATTTCGAGCTATAATGCTTTGAATTCGTAGTGCCGTTTGAAATAGGTCAAAAAAAAAAAAATCAACAAATAAGCTGCTTTTTAGACTTCCGATTTTTTTTTTCTTAACTACTTTTTTTCTCAACTACTTTCTTTCCACTGCTAAATTTATATTTTTTTGTATATTATTTATTAAACAACAATATTTTTTATAATAAGTCAAAATTCTTTATATTGTTATTATTTTATGTTAATAGAGGAATTATTTTAAAGTTATTTGTTACAAGTTTACTTAGTGAGTTATGGAGTGCAACAAATGCATAATCATTATTACTCTATTGAGTATTGATGGCTCAGTGCTTTGATAAAAGTAATTATTTCGCTTCATAAAATAATACAATACAAAGAATTTTAACTTATTATAAAATTTTATTATTTTTATTATATGGAAAGTTAATTTTAATAAAGCAAAATTTTTTACTATTTGGAAAAAAAAAAAAACTCTTTCCAAAAAAACTACTGATCCTTAAAAATTGCCTTATTTGGTAATTTTAAGAAAATCCAAAGACAAACCTATCTCTAGCCCCAAGAAACATTAAATAAACCACTCCAACACCACTCAAAGGTAATCTTCTAACTGATTAGCATTGCTACTAACAAGCTTCTTGCTTGTTTGTCTCTTTTGTAGACAGACAAGTCAAAATTTTACTCAAAAAAGAAGGAGAAAGTCCAAAGCATACAATTCACAGTAAACTTAAAGAAAAAGTCAGCATCAACCCTCCTAGCTCCCAGCCAGTCGTGTACAAGGTACTGTATCTCTCTAGTCACCAGAAGAATCTTTGTTGGCCAGATTTCACCCGATAAATCAGGCAACCTAGACACTAGCAAAAAACAAGGGGATACCAAACTTTCTCATAAGGAATCCAAGTTAAAGGATTCCAGGAAAACATAAACAACATCACACACACTACTATCAGTTATCTCAAGTTACGCGACAAAATTTTTCAAAAAATTTGGAAAAACTGAAAAACCAGATCCAGCTCAACCCTGTCAAAAGATCTATGGCAGCACAAACATGTACAAATTTCAAAGATCCACTTTACAACACATCAACAAGAAAACAACACCAATTTACATGTCAACAATCACCCAGCTCAAGTTACACAAACACGTCTCAGCTCAATCTCAACAACATTATTAAAAATACTTAATAAGCAACAAACATAACAGAAACAGTAACACGTGTTTATACAAGCAGCAAATACAAAAGCAAATCACGTGTTTCTTAAAAACTTATTATCATTATCAAGCCAAAACATGTCCTCTGAACACGTCACCAAGCAAACAACACCTTCAAAGCTCCAGCACAATACCAATTATTTACTTGACATAATACTTATAGACAGAATAAGACATTACGTGTCTATTATCTATCAAAATAAAAGAAAAGAAATCATTCTCACAGAACTCTCCAGAACGCATACAATTCCCATGCTCCAAAATAATCCCAACAGATGGCTTATTCCCACAACCAACATCTCCAGACCAGACTCTGCAAACCTATCAATATTCCAAATAGAATTCTCCACAGATAACAATGAAAACCTCCTTGCACAAGTTTCAGTTCTAAAGGAAAAATCATTATATCTTCTGGATGAATTCCAAAACTTCTATAATTTGCTTCAGAAGTTCTTTGCCAAAAATGAACAGCTCAGAAATGAAGTGGTTCAAAAAGTAATAGCAAAAGGATGGAACTACTCCAAACACATCTCCTGGAACATAATACAGGTCACTAAGACTGGCAACAAGAAACAGAAAACCTTCTCTCTTACAAAATCATTTCATCTTATTACCTCAAGCCAAACACCTCCCTGCTTGACAGTCAATACAGAACTATTTCCTCCTTCAAACTCTCTCATTGATCCCCAAAGTGAATGGTTATTTCTTCAACGACCAATCAGAACCCATATCAGAAGCAACTCTTAGCCAATCAGATTCTAACCAATCAAAAAACTTGCAGTCAGATTATCCAACTTAACAAGATCAGCTATCCAATCACAAGGCATTTCCCCTGTAAGACTTCTATAAAAACGATTTTTCGATCTCCATCGACTTAAACTTTCCCATTCCAGAAGACATAGAAATAGGAAACATTGCTAGCTCTTATCTTTATCAAGAAAGTGAAAACACATCCATTACTCAAATACCAATCAGCTCCACTACTCCATCAAGTGTTAACAACTTTTAACAGCATAACAACCCTATTATTTCAATGTCTCGCTCTCCCTCACCTATCCCATCAAAAGCACAGAAACCCCTGCAACGGCCTGAACATAATGGCCCAGTACCCCCTAGAGAAAGAAATCCAGCATTCAATAGCAGCCTTCAAGAAAAAATAGAAGCTGCCTCCAAAAGGCTCTGGCAATATGAGACTGATATACTTCTAAAGTCTTCGGGGATAGAAGACTACGATGTAACCATCAACTCAGATGAAGAAGATGATGATTACAATCTTCCAGAAGAACTTATTAGTGAATGCCATCGCATCATTAAGTGGGCATCCAAACTCACCACTATAAGAAACAACTCTGATGAACTCATTAACCTCCTGTTAGATGTCAACAAATACCCAAGAGATGAAGTCAGACAGAAATCAAAACTAGCAATTTTCACTAAAATAGAAGCAAGAGACAGAAGTTTTTTTAGGTTCAACAAGGAAACAGAATTAAAAGAAGATCATCAAAAAGAATATGAGAAGCTAGAAGATCAGTTTCGAAGAATTTACAAAGGAAAACACAAAGTTGGAGAACTTAATAGAGAAGTTAGAACAAAGATCAAGTTTTTACTAAATACCAGCCTATTCATTGCCTATCTAAGGTACATCAACATATTTGATCTCAACCCCCATCTACTTACACAAATTATGGAATATGGATGTAACTACTTGTGCCATCCCAAAGAAGGCACCAAATTAGATTATCATGAAATCCTTCAAAAGTGTAAAAAAATGTTTCGCGAAAATCTTCCAGAATTATCTCCATCTTCAGAACTAGTTCCTCCACAAATAAAGGTCAAAATTCCCCACAGAATTCCTATTCTTGACAGAAGCACAACAGCAAGCGTGGCAGGCTCCCTTCATTCCATATACAAATTTAATATGTTGCCAGGTTCATATTTTGCCACCCTTCCCAATCTCCTCGACAATCCACAAAACCTCTCTAAAGAAGTTTCACACTTATTTCCTATCAAAAGAAGAAAGGATCTTAAGAATTTGGGTGAAATGATCAGGGAATTCAAAAAATTCTATTTTGTCCCTATCAAAATTCCCTCATCATACTTCGATCTTCCTCCACCCAAGATCCCTCTTCCATCATCCCCTAATCTCCTCGAACCAAAATTTGCTGAGTTTTTCCCCCTAGACACGTCTAAACAAAGCATTAGGAAAGTAGTCAAGAAACTACGATCCAGATATTTCTTTGAATGCCTTCCCTCCAACTTTTTTAAGCTTAAAGAACTCCTTCCTACATTTCCATTGATGATTAACAGATATACCTCCAAACTAGGAATCCAAATACCCACCACGAATTCCCATGACACCCAATTTCTGATCAAGAACTTAAGAACCGAGTATCGATTCTCTCTTCCACTCGGAGTCCACTGGATGAATGAAGAGATCTCCCAAACTGGCAAGCCAAAACTACCGCAGAGAATAAATAATATAGATCCAAGTTTAGATATCAAGCACCTTTCTCATAATGATACTCTCTTCAAAGAAAAAATCAAGGCACTTCACAAGCACTATGAATTCCAAAGAATTCCAGAAAGCTGGTTCATCAATCCACGCATTCCTCTGCCAGAAGACCCAATAGAAATAAACAGAATCCTAAAAAAAAGAGTTTAATGTCTCTCGAATTTCCCGTGGTGGATAATGATGCCCTCCCCACAATCCTCTTTCAACTACATAAAATCTTCTCCTTCCGTAGACTCCCTGAAACTCTCATCATAAAAGAAACACTTCCTGAACTGGAGTTTGATCTCATGCCCTTTCTATGTTAATTGTTATGTTTAACAACCAAACTATAGCAAATAATTTAAATTTTAATTCATCAAATACTACTTCCAACCCTAACAACTACATCTATTCAATTACTATACCCAGTTTCATCCCACCTTCCAATCCCAACTCTCAAACATCTCAACATATTCAAATCTTAACTACACCTCCAAACAATACAATTATTGAACCTATACTAAATACTACTCAAGATCTAATTACTTTTACCACCATCAATACCAAAGGCTTAAACTACCCCATCAAGCTTAAAGCCCTAGCAAATCACACCTCAGACCGTACCATCCTTTTCTGTACTGAGACCAAACTTAAACAGGAAGATAACCACCCTAAGAATATTAACGGGAGGTCCATAATTTACGGAAACTCCAGTTCATCTGCAAGAAAAGGCACAGCCCTCATCATAGGAAGAAGTCTCACCCCTCATGTCCACAAAATTGTCAGCCATTCAGAATACTGCTCATCAATCTTGCTCAAATTCAAAGGGAAAGTCAACATTCTTGTTTCAGCAATTTACCTACCCCATGATATGACAGAAAGAAAAGCTGCAGTTAAACAAGTAACCCAAGCAATCAAATTAGCTGCCAATAATAATTTTCACCATGCAATCTTAGGGGACTTCAACACATACCCTAAGGACAGTCCATCAATCAATGCTTCAACCTCCTCAGTCAAGTGGATACTCTATAGACATCTATATAACTATATCGACATAGGCCATCAACTAGATGAGAGAGTCTTCACCTTTATCACACCTACCAGCGCCTCCTGAATTGACCAAATATGGTTGTCAAGAAACCTAGCTCCTAAGGTAGTCTGGTATAAAATCCAGGAGTATGACTTTATTCCAACAGACCATTACATAGTATTGGTTAAGCTAGACTACTTCGAGTTCAGAAAAACCAAGCCTATCTACAAGTTTGACATTGAGAAAACTTCCAGCTTCAACATTACCAACTTTATCCAAGACGTAGAATCCTGGACCAGTTTCCTAGACTCCCCAAACTGGAACGAGCTTCATAATCTTATCAAAGATTCCATGAACAAGTTCATCAAAAAAACTTAAGTTAACATGGTCCCAAAAGACACTCGTACCAACGCAGAGAAAAAACTCAGAAGTCAGACAAGGAAAATCAATAACACAATTTCAAAAATCAAAAAAAACTATACAACAATACAATTACAAGACCAAGAACTACAAACCATGTATAAAACAGTTAATGGAAACCTAAACATTTCACTCCAAGGATTAAGGAAGCTCAAAAGACTCCTAATTCGTGAATCAATTGCCCAAGCCCAACAAGAATCCCTCAAAGAATTCCGGTTAAACCAGGAAAGAACAGTTGAAAACTTTTACAATAAACCCAAGAGCTACATAAAGAAAGCCTTGGGCTCCTTGAAACCGAAAATTGATCTTTCCAAAATTCTTGATAAAAACAATCATATGGAAGAAGATCCTAGCGCAATTCAAGAAACAATCAACAGATATTTCAAAAGCATTATGCATGAAAGAAACTTTAATCTTGAAAACTTCTCAAACTGGCAAGACAAATATTCTCCCAAGCCAATTGATCAAACCATCTACAATCATGTGCTCTCACCATTTGACAATATCACTATCGATGAAGCCATTTATACTCTCCCCAAAAAAAAATCTCCCGGAAAGTCTGAAATCAGCTATAATATAATCAAGCTGTTAAAAGGGAAAATAACAACCCACCTTACTACAATCTTCAACTGAATTTTAACCTCTTCATCAATTCCACGAATTTGGAAGCAAACATCCATTACCCTGATTCCCAAGAAACTCCTCTGGAGCCACAAACTTAATGATACCAGACCGATTTCATTAGTGGACCTCACAAGAAAAATCTTTACTGGAATAATCAACAAAAGACTCTCCAGCACCCTGAAGAACAATTCGATCCTATCAGAATTTAACTTTGCAGGACTTCCAGGACAAAGTACCCTCGAACCCCTAACCATCGTCAACTCAGCAATTCAAGCTGTGAATGTTGGCAACAAAGAGTTTTGATTCGCTTCACTTGATATTGCCAAGGCTTTTGATTCTGTCCCTATACCGGCTATCAAGAAATCCCTGGAAAGAATTAAATGTCCCTCTCAATTGATAAGCCTCTTCACCAATTTGCTTACGAATAGAGAAGTATCCATCAACTCACCCTTCGGCCCCACCAATCCTTTTACGGTCATTAATGGCATAGAACAAGAAGAAACTATTTCCCCAATCACTTGGGTTATTTTCTATGATCCTCTTATTTCCAGACTCTCTAAGTGCAAAAAAATACAAGGCTATTTGACTCCAAATGCCCTCACCTACATGGATGACTTAGCACTTATCGCTAACTCCAAAGCAAAAATGGAAGCTCTACTTGAAACAGCCAATCAGTTCTTCCAAATCAACGACATTACATGCAATAAAGACAAAACAAAAATTATTAACAACATCAAAGTCAAACGCGGAAGTCCAAAGACAATCAACTTTGAAAATCTTCCAATTCAAGTCCTCAAACCGTATGAGAGCATCAAATATCTGGGAGCTCTTATCTCCCCACGTAGCCTCCTCAAGGCCAACAGAAAAGCCTTCAGCCTGGTGACCTCACAAATCTTAGATGAACTCAACAGACGTCAGTGGAAAGGAGAAATCAAGCAGCGCATTTGCGAATGGGTAATCATGGGGAAATATGAATATTTCCTGTCAATTTTTCACTTGAACAAAAGCCTCCTCAATATTACTCAAAGGAAAATTAATCAAGTTATCAAGACCGGATACAAAATCTCCTCCAAGTGCTCCAACTCTATTATAATGAGTCAAGGAGGACTTGGTTTACCACTACTCGAAGAACGGCAAAAAACAAGTCTCATAAATAACCTCATAACCAAACTAGCAACTCCCATAACAAGAAAATATATAATTCAAGTCATACAGTGTATCCAAAAGAAAGAAGCCATCTGGTTCTGCCCAATATGTAATCCAGAGAAATTTGATCAAGATAACTGGATACTTTATGCAGCTGGAGCAGCAAAAAGCTTCAAAATACAGATCTGTTCTTCAGACTGTCCTCTTCAGCTAGGGAATGCTTGCAATTCAATAAGTTTAATCTTTAAAAATTTATCATCACAGCTAAAAGAGTCAGCAGCCAATACATCTAATGCCCTAGGCATAAAATTTTCCAATCAACTTCTTCGGTTCAATAGTTCAACCAAACTATTCTGGTCACAACTTATCTTACACACTGGCATTGTACGCTGTGGTCCCAAACCAACCTGGTTCAAAAACTTTAACAATAATAATAATCTAGTCGGGTCTCATAGCTCAATACCAAATCCAAATCCAATATTCTGGTTCCTACATACTGCAAATGCTATCATCAAAACTCACAAGAGACATTGTCACATCCAAGCTAATATTCCTCTCAAGGGAAGGCACTATACAATCGATTCTGACAGCAACCTTTCTAGATGTTCGGGATGCTCCCTGGGCCTCTCTCTCAACAACTACTGCTCAATAACCTTCTTAAGCTCCAATGCTTCTTCACTCTGGATAGTCAATAAAGCTCTACCCAATGCTAAATACTGCCTCTGCAACATTATCGAGGAAATAGCAAACTCTCCAGCAGAAAGTGAAAGAACCCTCCAATCAATTGACATTTCACTTCTTACAACAGCTCCTTCTCCCCTTCAGATGTTAGACCAATGCAATCTTATCACATTCAACTCTCCAAACAAGATCTAATAGTCAATGCAACCAAGGTTACAATGTCCAATCCAGGATTTTTAGATGGCAATATATTGCGAGTCATCTATGACATTGTTCAATGGTACCCTTCACATGCTATTATTGAAGTCAGAAGCAACAAAAAAATTATTCGAACACCCCCAACCTTCCCCAGAAAGCATATAAAAATCAATTTCACCACCTTAACTTCAAAAATCGAGCAATTTACATCACAAAAGAATATAACCATCAGGTCTGCCAAACCCAAATCCAAGCCAAGATACACCAACTCAATCCAGTGGGATAATT